AGTTGGCGTTTCTGTGTGGAGTTTGCATGTTCTCCCTGCATTCGCGTGGGTTTTCCTCCGGTTTCCCCCACAGTCCAAACACATGCGGTACAGGTGAATTGGGTAGGCTAAATTGTCCCTAGTGTATGAGTGTGTGTGTGAATGTGTTTGTGGATGTTTCCCAGAGATGGGTTGCGGCTGGAAGGGCATTTGCTGCGTAAAAACTTGCTGGATAAGTTGGCGGTTCATTCTGCTGTGGCGACACCGGATTAATAAGGGGGACTAAGCCGACAAGAAAATGAATGAATTAATGTTTTGTTTATCGCAACATATTTTGGTGAAATGTGTATCGTATAAAAAATAAAATAAAAAATGGATATCATGACAAAACTAATTGCATATAGTGGCAAAACATAATATGGCAATGTCAGATTTTTCCAATATCGTGGTGCCCTAGTGTGTTACATCATGAGAAACAAATCAAAGAAAAAAACGAGAAACACAAACACGACAGAGGAAACACACCATAAATACCAGAAACCACATCTGTGTGTGTGTGTGTGTGTGTGTGTGTGTGTGTGTGTGTGTGTGTGTGTGTGTGTGTGTGTGTGTGTGTGTGTGTGTGTGTGTTATTGCTAGTGATAAAATTAGAGATGAAGCTTGATTTGAGGGCGATGGTGATTTTTATTTTTCTGTTTTTAAAGCAGGCAGACTAAACGTATTGGGTGATTCATGCTTAAATGCTTTTTTCTGATTTTGTATTTCTCTTAATGATGTTTATAACAATTTAATCTCATTGTAGTGATTAATGAGTAACTTTTTTGTTATTTATTAGCTTTATTAGGTACAGCTGACTAGTACCAGGTTGGACCCCTTTTGCCTTCAGATCTGCTTTAATCCTTTATGTCAGAGATTCAACAAGCTACTGGAAATATTCCTCAGAGATTTTGCTCCATGTTGTCATGATAGCATCACACAGTTGCTGCAGATTTGTCGGCTGCACATCCATGATGCCAATCTCCTGTTCCACCACATCTTAAAGCTGCTCTATTGGATTGAGCTCTGGTGACTGTGGAGGCCATTTGAGTACAGTGAACTCATCGTCATGTTCAAGACACCAGTCTGAGATGATTGAGCTTTATGACATGCTGCGTTATCCTGCTGGAAGTAGCCATCAGAAGATGGAGACACTGTGCTCATAAAGGGATGGACATGGTCAGCAGCAATACTCAGGTAGGCTGTGGCGTTGATGCTCAATTGGTACTAATGGACCCAAAGAAAATCTCCCCCACACCATTACACCACCACCACCAGCCTGAACCGCTGATACAAGGCAGGATGATCCATGCTTTCATGTTGTTGAGGCCAAATTGTGAGCCGAGCATCCAAATGTGTCAGCAGAAATGGAGACTCATCAGAGCAGCAACGTTTCTCCAATCTTCTATTGTCCAGTTTTGGTGAGTCTGTGTGAATTGTAGCCTCAGTTTCCTGTTCTTAGCTGACAGGAGCGGCACCCGGTGTGCTCTTCTGCTGCTGTAGCCCATCCGCCTCAAGGTTGGCCGTGTTGTGTGTTCAGAGATGCTCTTCTGCAGAGCTCGGTTGTAACGAGTGCTTATTTGAGTTACTGTTGCCTTTCTATCAGCTGGAACCAGTCTGGCCATTCTCCTCTGACCTCATCAACAAGGCATTGGCGCCCACAGAACTGCCGCTCACTGGATATTTCCACTGTTTATCCATCAGACATGTAATGCTGCCATCTATTGCAGTACATGAGGCGGCTCCTCTCATAATGGAGAATCAAAAACACATCAATGATGCAATTCTATAAAACACGTGCTGTTATTATAATAACTTTTTGATGCATTTTTCCTCTTCATTTACAGATATCCTGATATATTGTGGATGGTTTTCTTGAGGTATATAGGGTATATGCAGAGCTAGTGTGTTTCCCATACGAATAAACTTCCAGTTTTTTCCATTTTATATGGTTCCTTTTACAGCATCGATGTTGTAATGTAATTAAAATACAATCAGTTAAACAGACTTTAACATTTGTTTAGTTGCTCAAGTGTAAAGCCAGACAAAATCGCCTTAGTCAGAATCGGCAGGCTAGCACAGAAGCTCCATTGAATATACTGGGGTAAAATAAATGTTCATATAATAAAGACATGGCGGGGAAAATGTAATGTAATGCAGCGCTTCTTGAACAATCTGAGACCCACTTTATATCGCATGTCACTCAGCCAGTGGAGATAGCTGATTGTAAAACAGAGAAAACAGAGCTTAAACGCGCCGATTTTGCAATGGTACACAGTTCACCGCAAATGCTTAACGCAGGTTACTGACAAATTAAAAGTCCTTTAGCATACTTTTGCATGTACCCTATTGCAGGTATCATGATCTATCTATCATTACTGGGAGCAAAATATCATGATAATGTCATATCGTATCGTACTGTACCTGAATATCTGGCTACTCATTTCACTTTTATTTTTGCTCTATCTTTATATTCTTGCCATTTCTTTGACTCAAGATTATTCCAATCAATATAAATGAATGATTTCACTCCAAATACAGCTATTCAAGTCATCTGCTGATATTGTGTTCATATAGCAATACACAGTATATCACAGTGAAAAACAATCACAATGTCAGACCTTTCTCATATCAGACACCCCTAAACATTATTTTACACATAAAATGTACATACTGTTTTAATTTTAAGCATAAAATAAAAAAACACTAGCATGACATTACTAGTAATCTGCAAAAATCTGACAAATAATCACAAATACCTTTGTATATGCGTTATATAGTAGGATATTTCATTTGTATATCAGCATTCATTCATTTACTTTTCGTCTTAGTCCCTTTATTAATCAGGGGTCACCACAGCGGAATGAACCACCAACTACTCCAGCATATGTTTTACACAGCGGATGCACTTCCAGCTGTAACCCAGTACTGGGAAACACCAATACACTCTTGCATTCACACTCATACACTGGCCAATTTAGCTTATCCAATCCCCTATAGCGCATGTGTTTGGACTGTGGGGGATACCGGTGCACCTGGAGGAAACCAACGCCAACACGGGGAGAACTTGCAAACTCCACACAGAAACACCAACTGACCCAGCCAGGACTCAAGACAGTGACCATCTAGCTGTGAGGTGATAGTTCTACCCACTGCACCACCGTGACGCATTTCTAAAAAGCATAAACCAGGGGTGTCAAACTCAATTCCTGGAGGGCTGAAGCCCTGCACAGTTTAGTTCCAACCCTGCTCCAACACACTCACCTGTAGGTTTCAAACAAGCCTGAAGGACTCAATTAGTTTGATCAGGTGTGTTAAATTAGGGTTGGAACTAAACTGTGCAGAGCTGCGGCCCTGAGTTTGACACCTGTGGCATAAACGAATGTAGTGAAAGTAGGGAAACTGCAATCAAAAAAATAATTAAAGAAATAAAGTAAAGTCTAAAGAACATGATTAATTCTAAAGCCAAGAGGTCGACTAGAAAACCTTCACATTGAGATAGATAGATTGTGTTACACTGTTCTGGGTAATGTGTTTACGAACTAGAACAGTCAAACACGATGCTTGTCACCATATTTATTCAAAAATATATTAAAAATGTGCATAAATAATCTTCACAATATAGGTTTGTATGTACATAATATATGTCTTCTCACTGCAAACCGACGTTTTCTTATCATTTTATTTAAATGTTTATGTATAGTCATGATCACACTTGTGTGTTTTGCGAGTAGTTTGTGCGTTTTCTGCCATACACAACTGAATCAGTCGAGGTAAAGTTGGCTTTATATTTTGCACATGCTCATTTATGAACAAAGTGACGATATGTGTCGCGCTCTCTATATTGTGCACCGCTACTTTGAATACCGGCTCTGAAATGGCTTGTAAGCATGACATCAAAACAACATCAGCACTATTTAACTGACCGTAAACGATGCTGTACTTTGATCATCACTGGCTGATAATGTGATTTGACTATTTATAGTTTACAAAGAATACTTTCTGAAATTACATTAAGGAGAACGACTGAATGTGCGGATTTAAAACCGACTATACTCAATAATCTGAAACTCTAAAATAATTGCAAAAAAAATGCATGCCGCACACACACACACACACACACACACACACACACACACACATTAGTGCTGTCGAAAGACTGATCACATCCAAGCTAAAAGTTTGTATTTACATTATATTTGTGTACTGTCTATATATATAAATATGTATAAATACACACACACACACATACACACACACACACACACACACACACACAGTACATAAGACACAAAAATAAGCAAAAGACGTACATTTTCATATATTTGTTTTATATAAATACTTATGGATATAAAAATAAGTAAATATTGTATGCAATATAGTCATGCATACATTTATATAAACAAAAATATACATAGTAAGCACAAATATATTTCAAAATATGGACTTTTATTTTGGATGCGATTAATTGTTTGACAACACACACACACACACACACACACACACACACACACACACATTTATCATTATATATGTGCTGGGCGAAGACTAATCGAATCCAAAATAAAAGTTCATTTTGACATAAAATGTGTGTGTTTATAAAAACAAACGCATGAATATATTCATATATTTGAGAAGAAATATATATTTCGAGAGAAAATATCTATTTATATAATGCAAATTGTATATAAACTAAAGTTTCTGTATAACAATATTCATATATAAAGAGAGCACTGTATCCTCTGGTGTGTGATGAAGTGTATTGAATTACAGTTACAGTATGCAGGAGACAAACTCAAGTTTTCTGCTGTAACGTCAGCATGACAGAGAGAGAGAGAGAGAGAGAGAGAGAGAGAGAGAGAGAGAGAGAGAGAGAGAGAGAGAGAGAGAGAGAGAAAACAACAACCCGCAAATGTCTGACTGTGAGTTTCGGCTGAGCGCGCCCACAGACCCCCGGTCAAATAACGGTTTTAACGGCTCGTTACCTGCAGCTCTGCGCGTTCCACCTCCCACTGCGCGCGCTCCAGCTCGAACCGGGCCCACTCGTGCTGCAGAAAGTGCAGGATCCCCGGGATACTGTAGTGCGCGCGGGCCGCCTCTCCACCGCCGTCGCCCGGCTGAGGCGCTTTCGCTCCGCCGGGGAGAACCGAATTGTTGTTGTTGTTAAAGAACACACCGGGGCCCGCCTGCTCGTCCATGGCTAGGCCGGGATTCGGTGTCTGCTGGACCGCACGGACTCTGGGTTCGATGCTCTGGATCCGCGTCGCTGCTCGAAGGGAAACGGGCGGCTGCGGCTCCGCTCACTGCTGTCACTTCATGACGTTTCCGCTAGCGCTGCTCGAATCAGCAGTGAATCGTCCATGTGAGCCGACTCAGTGAACTGATTCCGTCGAGCCGATTAGTGAGCCGATTGAGTTACTTTTAAAAGTTGTAGTTTAAAGGAGCATGTTTGTCATTAGCAAAATATGAATTGTCATCATTGTAAATGATGACAATCTAAAGTATTATATCTTATGTAAATGTAAAATTCTAAATGAATTAAATACATGAAGTAAAATTTGTAGATGCAACTTAAATTTTATTGATGCATAACACACACACACACACGCACATATATATTATATATAAAATATCATTTTATTTTTATTCTTCTTCATTTAGCTGTAAATATATAAAATATAAAGGAAATTTTAATTGTATTTTCAATTGGAAACTGATTTTTAGTGACAGTTTTAATTTTTTGTTGAAGGGAGCCTCATATTTTTGGTCAAAGAGCCACATGTGGGTCCCGAGCCATAGCTTGCCCACCCCTGCTTTACAGCATAAAAGAGAACCTAATTAAGCTGAATAGGGTTTTTACTTTAATTTTTAATATATTGACAGGGTATTTTTGTGTTGTTCATCAATAAAATATTAATTGTATATATATATTTTAGTTTTATATTCATTATAAATTAGAATTACGTTGGATTTAATTATTTAGACGACACTTATCAAATAATGTGAATAATAAAGCAATCGAACAGAATTTAGTTTTTAGATTTTTAATATATGTATGTATATTTTTTGTTATATACATTAATAAAATTCTCTCATTCATTAATTCTCTTTTCGGCTTAGTCCCTTTATTAATCAGGGGTCACCACAGAGGAATGAACCGCTAACTTAATCAGTACATGTTTTATGCCCTTCTAGCTGCAACCCATCACTGGGAAACATCCAAACTCATTCACTACAGTCAAGTTTAGCATATTCACCTGTACCACAAGTGTTTGGACTGTGGGGGAAAAGAGACGACATCGCAACCCACTGCATCACCCCACACTTCAATAAAATATTACCTACAATCATTTATTAACCTTTGTTTTTATTTTAATTAGACTTGAGTATTTATTTTAATTAGACTTTTACATTTAAATTTAATCATTTGGACGACACTTTTATCTAATAATGAGAATAATAAAAGTAATAAAGCATCAAAAACCTGTATAAATATTTTGGGTTTATAGTAAAAAGGTCAGATTATGCCATTTTTATAAATATGTATGCAGTAATCAGTGTTGTTGGTATAGTTTTATTTTATATATATATATATATATATATATATATATATATATATATATATATACATATATATATATATATATATATATATAAAGATAGTTAGGGATAAAACAGAGCAGAAAATGAGTGTTGATAATAGTAATGTTGACAAAAAAGGTTAATCTAATCATTATTATTGAGAATTCTCCTTTGCTGATTCCTAAAAATCAACAAAACGTATATATATATATTTATATTTTCACTTAGCAATGTTAATTTAGTACTGAATCAAGTTATTTTTTTAATTTTAAACATTTGTAGATATATTTGTATAAAAGTTTAACATCAAGATAACATACAAACTAATGTGATGTTGTTCACAAAAACACATCTATTACAAAAAAACAAAAAAAAAAAAAACAATCGTGTATAAAATAACTCAACACAAAAATAAACAAAGCTTTATCAAACATATCGTGCAAGTCAAACGCGCTCATAACTTTAAAGAGTCGAATGTGTTTAAACAAAACGTTCAGTTGAACCGATTCACTGACATGATTCGCACTACGCTGGTTTCCGCTCATTTCACGCCCACAAGCAGGTCAACAGATCGCAGCCAGCACGAAGCGCTCTGATTAGACAGAACAAACAACTCGTTCGGTGAAAAGCCAATCAGAGACGAACGCGCTGGGCATGCTGGGACTTGTAGTCCAAATACGTTTTACTCATTATTCTGCAAAACGTTCTTACACAGAGTCATTGTTCAGTGTTGAAATAGCTGTACACACTCGCAGTCTCACAAAAACTCACATTAGTTAACTAAAAACACAACACACAAACTTTAAACACACACTTGTGTTTTAACAAACTAATATAAGTAATGTGCAAAGCATCAACTTGACATAAAATGCATGTTTTAACATTACATAACAGAGCAGACTCAAGCAGATGCTTGTAATATTTTCACAGAGGATTCATTTAAGTACTCATGTCATGCTCGAACTGTTATACAACAATACAATACCATCCTCTGTTTTAAATACGCACGCATCCATTTCTGAGACTCGTGAACAACACAAAGATCCATTCACAGCCTTATTTACCTGCAACATTTTAGGAATGTGTATCGGCATATACTGATTATTATACTCGGCACACTTATTATACTCCTATTATTATACTGAAACACTCTAAATGCTTACAAAATAACTCTGGGAGGATTAGGGCCCCTTTGTTAACATGTTAATGAAATGTTTACTGTTATTATTATTCATTTTAACTTCATTTAAATGTTTTAATTCAATATTTACAAAATAATTCTGGGAGGAATAAGACTATCTATCTATCTATCTATCTATCTATCTATCTGTCTATCTGTCTGTCTGTCTGTCTGTCTGTCTGTCTGTCTGTCTGTCTGTCTGTCTAAAAATAACTTACACATTAAAAACTTTATTATGCTGCATAAGTAACTTTAACACAACCTCCTTTGTTGAAATGTTAACATGAATAAAATGTTTAGTGTTATTATTATTATTTATTTTAAATTCATTTAAATATTTTAATTCACTTAATTCCTCTGCTTATTAACTTAAACTTTAAGACTAACAAAGAATAAACTCTGTAACATGCATGTCAGCATCTTAATAACGCAATAGCTCTTCTTATTATACTTATACACTCTAAAATATGCTGGATTGTATGGTTATAATGTTTAAGAAATAATATATGGAGAAATAAGTCTGTAAAATAACACTATAAACTTTATAAATAACATGTGCTGCAGTTTAATACATGGTATCTGTGGCTTAATATACAACACCGACCCAGATAATATCTCACTTTAAACTAATAAACATGTTTATAAAAGTCACTTTTTTCAACTTTTCAATGTATAAAGTTATTGGGAAAAGATTAAGATCACATAATGCAATTTAAAAGCATTAAATAAACTAAAAATAAAACATAAAACATGAATAATTAAGTAAATAAACTGCTAATTTACCGACAGACATTTTTTACAGTGTGGGTTTAATAAAACCAGTATCTTTTTACAGTATACTTATCACAAATAACATTTAGTGAACACAAAGGACTAAAACTGTTAAAAATAAAAATAAATTAAATACAAATAATAATAAAATAAAACAAATGAATATCGCGCGATCTCCGCGGAGCGCATGCGCAGTGACGTCACCGCCGGCGCAGTATTTAATTAGTGTTAGTGCGCTCGGAGAGCAATTAGTGCGCAGGTCAGAGGTGCAGCTCAACATGCCTCCGTTTGAGAAAACTCCACATCCCAAACCCTTCAAACAGAGGAAGAGCTTAGGTGTGCGTCTTTATATCACATATTCGACCTTTTTGTGTGTGTGTTTGTGCTGTCAAACTCAACAGTTGTTTGTTTTTTGGTGTTATTGGTGATCGATCAGCAACGAGGAAACAAGAGGTGGCGGGAATACGGACTAAGTTTCCGACTAAAATCCCGGTAAGTAGTGTGTGTTAGTGATTATGTGTGTTCGTCGATCAGTGTGTGTGTGTGTTTAAGTGAAATATGCTCTTTATTTGAGGTAATAATCGAGCGATATCAGAGAGAGAAGTTTTTGCCGCCTCTGGATAAAACCAAGTTCCTCGTGCCTCAGGAGCTCACCATGACCCAGTTCGTCACCATCATCAGGTGAGCAAAACTCTATAATATACGCCTGTTTTATTCTAGAAATGTGTGTAACAATATAAAGAATGCATTAAACGAATAGCCTGCAACCATTTTACACAATTTAAATATTGCTTTTTGTTTTGTTTTCTCTCTTTCCTGCTTATTCAATAACAAAATCTGTTTGCCCGCACTGTAATGCCATTGTTACCTTTTAAAAAGTGAGTAAACCCATTGCCTTAAAAGCAACAAAGTGATTTTACTTAAAGCTGGAAAACCCATTGACTTTTGTCTATTCATAATTTCTTTTACTTTAAAAAGCGTAAACTCGTTGCTTCATCATTTAAGTTAACTAATTACTTTTTACAGTGTGAAATTCTATCTATCTATCTATCTATCTATCTATCTATCTATCTATCTATCTATCTATCTATCTATCTATCTATCTATCTATCTATCTATCTATCTTTTAAAAGCACATTCCTGAATAGTGAATTAATTGTTCTATTTCACAAGTCAAACCTTGACTTCTCATTATGCACATAGTTTGTTTACTTTATAATAATAATAAGGCAATGAGTTAACATCTATATGTATTGTTTTTAAACTTAACTAATCACTTTTTTATAGTGTGAAAGATCATGCATTTAAAGCAAAAGCTAATTTATTAATCTAGGTAAATTAATAAAATTCACTATTTTCATATAAGACATCTTAAGTGTTTTTTTTTTTTTTTTTTTTTTTTTTATTTTTTTTTTAAGAAATCTGTTTGTGAAAAATTCTCAGCAAGTATGAGAATTCCTGCAGTGCATTCCTGTAATTGTGTTTAAAGAGACAGAGACATGCAGTGGTCAGCATATACGAGTAGAGTACACCCTCTTTCAGAAATGTCTGTTTATAAAACGGATTGTTTGGATGTAGAAAACTTGTGGTTTATTTAAACATAAATTTCATTTATCAGTTTTATTCATTAGAATAAGATTTTGGCCACCGACCACCTTTAGGAATGCAAAGATGATGCATTTAGATTCAAACCAGTTGGAAAAACAATTACAACCTACAAATTTTAATGTTATATGTTTGTTAATTTTTTTTCGGTTTATTAAACCTTTTAAAAAAAACTAAATTTGTGTGGTAGCTTTTAGATTTTTTTTTATTTTTTTGTTAGATTAGTTTTAGTTTTGACTTCAGTACTGATTTAATCTAATGTATATGCACTAATTATTATTATTATTATTATTATATTAAAACATCGTAAAATTATAATTTAGGATATCAGTGTGGGTTGTACTCATGCATGCTGAACAGTGTGTGTCTATCAGTTTAAACTATACTAATGGAAAAAAAAAAGTTAATGCGCAGAAATTTGATGTAATCATAAACGTGCCTAATGATGAAGAGGCATTGATAAATGTATTATATTTGAAGTGAAAGTTTTGAGGTGATTTTCTTAATATATTAGATATTTAAAATATTTTAAGTGATTTAATTGACTACATTTTTAGAGACAATTTAATGTTTTAGTATGTAAAGTGAAAGTATTTGCTAACTGAAATGTAGGCATTTAAAGTATGCTGGATGCTGTGGATAAAACGGTATGCTGAATGAGTAACATTTTATTTAACATTTGTTCGTTTTAAATTGGTTTTAACTGACTTAATTCCTCTGTTTATTAACTGAGACTAACAAAGAATAAATTCTGTAACCTGCATTTTAGTATTTTTATAATGCAATCATTACTGGAGCATGTTCATACAAAACTAGTTGTAATTTGTCATTTAGAAATTATATAAATTCACTCTAAAGATTATTTTTAAATGAATATAATAAAATGAAATGATTCTGAAGTCCATAAATATAAACCATGCATATAATTAAATGCTAAGACTAACAAATAATAAATTCTATAAAGCGCATTTCAAGAATGCAACAATTATTAATGCGTATTTTTGTTTGCCATTTTAATATTTGTATACAATTTTTGTTGTTTTTTTAAATGTTGAGTATAAATGATTAAACATTAAATTATTTGATTAATTTATATTTATAGACCTCAATTATTTCATGTTAAGACTAACAAATAAATTTTGTAACATGCATTTCTGCACTTTTAATAATGCAACAATTATATGCAGATTTATATTTCTTTGGATAGTTGGGTTAAATATTTAATACAGAAATTATAATAAATATTCTGTAAAATGCATTTATCTGCATATTTTTTTTATGTAATTGTTTGTCATTTATTATTTCCATAAACTTAAATATTTTAAAGGGTAAACCTGAAAATAATTCTTGAAGTGTATAAATATAAACCAAGCATAAAATGTAATGTTAAGACTAACAAATTCTTTAACATATTTTTGCATTTTAATAATTGTATTTAAATCTATATTTTTTTTAATGCAACCAAATAATAATGATCTGTAAAATGCATTTATCTGCATACTTTTGTTGATGTAATTGTTTTTGTCATTTTAACATTTTGTATAAACTTTTTCACCTTTTTTAAATGATTAAACATGAAATAATTCAGAGGTCTATAAATCTAGTCTGTGTATAATATAATGTCCTGTGGGAGTGTTTGAGCTGGTCTGGATCTGCTGTCAGCTGATCGTCACCTGTGTGGGTTTAAGCCGTTTCTCACGCTGGGCTTTTTTCCCTCACGTCTGCTTTGGTTTTGTCAGGAATCGGATGACGCTGATGCCCAATCAGGCCTTTTACCTGCTCATCAATAACTCTGGCATCGCCAGCATGTCTATGACCATGGCGCAGCTTTATAAAGACCACAAAGATGAAGACGGGTTTCTCTACATGACCTACGCCTCGCAGGAGATGTTCGGACACAGGTGACGCGTCCAGGACATTTACTGAACTGAACTGATGCATTATTTAAGTCTTTGTATATAGTGTTATCCTTTTAGCTACTGTGTGTGTTTTAATGGTTTTCTAAGTAATAAACTGTCTTTAATTGGCGTATCGGCCACCAGAGGGAGACGTCTGTTCATTCTGATGCAGGAAATAAATGTTCTCGCTCGTTTAGGAATAATAAAAGCCTAAATCATGTGCATATAAAAAAAAAATAAAGGTTGATCATGTTTGGTGCATCGTTTTGGGTTCATGTTTGGATTATGCAGCTCAAATATATGGGGGATTTTTAGCATTGTCTGTATATTTTGTCTCCTGAATAAACTTGTTTATTAAAAAAGCTTTAATGAAACTGTTTTGAATAAAAGGTCTTAAGGTTTTCCTAAAATATAATGTTTGCATGTGTAATAACTAGGCCCACACGGAATCTGTGCGCGCAGAATTCTGCAGATTTTTAGTCCATCATTAATTCTTTATTTACTTGAGTAAATCTAAATTTCTTTAGTTGTTTAATCAATTACAGTAATATTGACTAATATGAAAATGCTCATCTGATTTATGTACAATGCAATGCAGTTTGTAAAGTCATATATTCTGTCTTTTAGTAAAGATTATATGAGAGACTTGTTTTGTTTACCAAATAAAGTGACTCTAATGTTTAAATTGCAAATTTAATTAAAGTTAAAGGTGTTTATTTCACTAATCAAGGTTTTAGTTATGATACTCCCAAAATAATTATGCAGAAATCTGCAGATTTTTAACAAAATCCTCAGCAGAAATAGCAAAAAAAAAAAAACGTCTGCAGCTTCCGTTTGGGCCAGGGCTGGAGTGGGACTCCTTTTCAGCCCTGGAGTTTAAAGCCTTAGACTGGCCCATCTCAGTTCACGACTGACTATTAAAATAAGGTCATTGCTAGTTCAGTTTCTAATGACACCGTCACGTCTTTTTTCAATAAAACAGCTGCTTTAGAACTTAAAATTTTCAACAACCATAACAGTATTATATGTCTTATCAATAAAAAATGAAAAAATAATAATTTTTCAGATGAGGTTCAAACACGGGTCAGCCGTGTCATAATTTAACGTGCTGACCACTGAACTACACTGAACTGTTACTCTAATGTGGCTGGAATGAAAAAAAAAAAATTGCACTATGACCTGCAAGACTTTTATTGACGGTTTAATTTTTTTCTCTCCTTTTTAGATTTGTGATCAAGTTATGTCAGATTTATTAATGTAGTGAATCATCTGATTTTTATTGAGCTGGTGTAATATTAATCAAGTATTCGAATTCTTACATTCACTAAGGTATGCTATGATGATAGTTACATCATTATTAATCTGCAGGTTGTATTTTGTTTACAGGGCTGCGAGAAACTAAATAAAAAGAGTGAGGCGATGGTCAAATAAAAAAATAAATGAAAAAGTGCAACTGCTGAGAGTGCAAGCAGATAGGGACACCGGCCCTCGCGGCCAAAAAATGGACCGGCCCACCGGGGATTCTCCCAGTTCTCTCCATTAGCCAATCCGGGCCTGCGTCTGGCCCTGGTAATAACCCACATTCTCTACTGAAATTCTCACCTGAAATCATCTATTGTAAGCTGTTTGGACAGAACTGTGTGTAGGTACAGTGTGTCCACAGTCATGTTAGGGTGATAAACACTATGGCTTTTGTTTTTCAGTATGCGTTCGTCAGCCTTCTCATGTAACGTCATCAATTACTGCCAAAGTTCAGTTCCAATACTCAAGACCGCAAGTACAGAGGATGCATGAAAGTTCCCGCATGTGTTGACATTAAAGATGTGTCGATGCAGACTCGAGCACTGATCTCACTCTAAAAGTCCCAGAAGTCATTGTGACTTGCGGAGGTGGGGGTGGGGGAGTGCAGCATTTTATCTAGATCTATTATTAAAGATAGAGATATCACTTATTTACCTCAGGAGTTTCCCTAAATGAAGCGGTGAAGATAAACCTTTGCATGAACATCTTAATAAAGGCATAAACACATTAAAGGTGTTTATTTGCTGAAATTCCTAATATAATCTTTTATTTGTATTGTGCAATGTGTGTCAAACACAATTCCATTCATTTTCATCATATTGTTTTAGAATTGACTGAAATATGACAGTCATTAATCTTCTACTGGTGTTTGCTAAATATTTTGCACAAATGAATGGGAGAAGACTAATAACACGCCTCAATACCTTTTGTGCATTTCCCACCACAGGAAGTGACATCATTAGCACTGTTGCCAACTAATTTTCAGAGGAAATTGCTGTTGAAATGCATTCTGGGAGCTTGATCTTTCTTTCAATAATTTTAACCTTGTAAAGTTGTATCCAGTGACTTATTGATGTGTGTAATAGGTGTCTGGGTCTGTGTTGTATATTACTCTACAAACACCTTATAATAAAATGCGGCTCATTTTACACACTTATTTTAGACTTTATATATTATTTCTTGAACATTAAACAATTTGAATCAGTTTGTTATGGAATGACACTGACGTTGTTGCATGAAGTTTGGTTTTGTAGTTTGGGCCCCATAAAAGATGTTTGGAATATTTGTTATTTTTTTTAATGCATTTTTTGCTCATTATCAATGCATTGTCACTTTAAGTGTAAGCAGCGCTGCAGAAACAGAACCGCTGCTGAAATGACTGACGTGTGTGTGTGTGTGTATGTGTGTGTGTGTGTGTGTGAACTGTTTAGAGATTGTGTTGCCACATAAATGTTAATAATTGCAAGATTTCCTGCTGGCTGCTTTTCTGAAAAAAGATTGCTAGAGTATGAAGAGTTGCTACTGTAAGTCTATACTGTCATAAATATCTGTAAATGAGCAGTTTTCTGTACTTTGTGATTCATATTTTTATTTTTCCCTGTTTATTTCTGCTATGGGAGCTTGATCTTTCATGCAACAATTTTTAATCTTGTAAAGTTGTATAGTCTGTACGTGTGTGTCTGCAGTGCTGTATTGTCTGGGTTGGTGTAGTATATTACACTACAGAAACCTTGCATTAAACTGCAGCACATTTACTGTTATTTTACACACTCTATATTATTTCTTTTACATTATATTATTATTTTAAACTACTAAAATGTTAGTAAAAGTCACTTTATTAAACTGTAACATTGAATTTTCATCATCAAAAGTGGATAGAGCAGAGATCAACATCCCATAATGCAATTGACAATCGCAGATGAACACTAAACTCTTGTGAATCACAAAATTTACAGTGAAGATTTCACAGCTTTCAGGTCAATGCTTTATTATATAACGTGTATCTGTTGAATGAACCCTTTAAATGAAGTTTTATGGAATCATTTGAGACATTAATGGTGTTTTTCATTGTGAAATATATTTAATGTTCATACAAACTGAAGTGTTACCAGTGTTGAGATGCCGCCATCAGTCTGCAGGTGTCGCTGTGGTGCTGTAAACATCTCTGCTGTTTCTCCTGTGGATATAATGGAAAGATTTAACTCTGATTAATTGACTTCACACAAGCATTGACACTCAGGTCAGTCTGATTCTGCTAATGAGGATTATTGAGCTGCTCGGTGGACTCTTGCGGATGCCTGCAGGAGATGGAGATTATTGTGATTATTATGATGCTCTGATTACAGAGGAACTCCTCAGGCTGATTTCATTATGACAATTAAATCTGAGCAACACTTTACACCATGAAGAGGCTTTCCTGCTTAAAGCAAACGACTTTCTGTAGAGATTTATCAATAAGCTTTAATGGCTCATTTCTAATCACTGATTTATTTTCTCTCTGTCATGATGACAGCACATAATATTAGACTAGATATTCTTCAAGACACTAGTGTTCAGCTTAAAGTGACATGTAAAGGCTTCACTAGGGTAATTAGGGTAAAGTTAGGGTAATTAGGCAAGTCATTGTATAACAGTGGTTTGTTCTGGAGACAATCCAACACTAATATTGCTGAAGGGGCGAATAATATTGACCTTAAAATGGCTTTAAAACTATTAAAAACTGCTTTTATTCTAGCCCAAATAAAACAAATAAGACTTTCTCCAGAAGAACAAATATTAGAAGAAACACTGTGAACAACTCCTGAATTTGTTCAACATCATTCATTCATTTTCTTTTCGGCTTAGTCCCTTCTGGGGTTGCCACAGTGGAATGAACCGCCAACTTATCCAGCATTTATTTTTATCCAGCGGAAACCCTTCCAGCTGCAACCCATCACTGGGAAACATCCATACATACTCATTCACATACACAATGGACAATTTAGCTTACCTAATTCACCCAACGTAGCCAGGAGAGGGGGGTGGGGGGGGTGTAGAATTTGTCCCATACATGAGCTCCTTTGACCTATTTTGACTGCTATAACATACTAAACTGTGAAAACAACCCAAAGATAAAGGCTTTGAAAATAAGCGGAATCCTCGGTTGACTGTCGCTTCGGTGTGGATTCAGATAATCAGTTTTGGCCGATGCACACAATTCTTTATCTACATTTCAACAGCAAGAAATCTGATGCAAGTGAAGTCGTCTTTCACTTCTGACCAACTCGACTGTTGTTAAATAGAGAAAACATTTTACAAGAAACTTTTATTCTTAATCTTGGACCTTTTTCAAACAAAAAATTACCAAATGAAAAGGTGTGAAGTACCAAAAGTGGCTCATATCAAAATGATTAATTTGGCTATTGTCCTTATCAACGAATAACTCTACATTAGTATCATTTATTCATTCATTCATTTCCTTTCCGGCCTAGTCTTTTCATTAATCAGGGGTCGCCACAGCGGAATGAACCGCCAACTTATCCAGCATATACTTTTACGCAGCGGATGCCATTCCAGCTGCAACCTTTCACTGGGAAACACCCATACACACTCAATCACACTCATACACTACAGCCAGTGTAGTTGATCAGTTCCCCTATAGCGCATGTGTTTGGACTGTGGGGGAAACCGGAGCACCCAGAGAAAACCCACACCAACACGGGGAGAACATGCAAACTCCACACAGAAACACCAACTGACCCAGCTGAGGCTCAAACCAGCAACCTTCTTGCTGTGAGGCGATTGTGCTACCCACTGTGCCACCACGTCGCCCATGTTTTTTTTTTAAATATAAAAGTATACAATTGTTTTGTATTCAAAATAACTATATATAAATATTATTCATTCATTCATTTTCTTGTCGGCTTAGTCCCTTTATTAATCTGGGGTCGCCACAGCGGAATGAACCGCCAACTTATCCAGCAAGTTTTTACGCAGTGGATGCCCTTCCGGCTGCATCCCATCTCTGGGAAACATCCACACACACACACTCATACACTACGGACAATTTAGCCTACCCAATTCACCTGCATGTGTTTGGACTGAGGGGGAATCCGGAGGAAGGGAGAAC